TTTGTCAGAGGTGCAGGCGCAGACGTTGTAATGCAGCGATTGGAGGTGCGATGCAGACAGGGCTGAATTTGTGGTGCATTTGTTTGATGGGTTGCTGGGCGTTGATTTGGGGAAATCCTGGCAGGACAAATGCATGGTTGGCGTGCCTATGAGAAAACACCGAGCTGTGTTGTTTCCACTTGTTGAATCGCTCCCACACGGCGCTGTGCGTTTAGTTGTACCTTTTTCAAGTTTTTCCAAATGCCGCGCAATGTCGCGATGTAAGGGAGGGCGCACTGTCCAATTTGGTGCCCTTGGTGTCATTTGAAACCGGGGGAGAGGGGTTCAGACCTGTGGCGCTGAGAGATTGCGCAATCGTCAGAACTGATGACGCGATGCTGAGCGAAAAAGTGGGCGACGGGGGGTCAGCTGAATGCGAGAAAAAAAAAAAAACTCAAGCGACACAAACAAATTCAATGAAGCGCGGCATTGTCGCTGCGGCAGGACGTCCCCCCACGAACAGGCACTGGGAGTGCAGCTGCAGCTCCAGTCGCAGAACTGCAGATCCAGGAGAAGCGTTTGTGCTCGACCGGCTGGAAGGACATCGGGTTCAATGGGCAACTGCTGCGGCCAGCTGTTTCTTTCCACCGTGCCGGCAAGTCGCCAGCAGAAGGCGCAGCGTCAGCACGGGTGGGCGGCGACGGGCGTGGTGGCGGTCAGGGACGGGCGCCTGAAGGCAAGCTGACCCGTGGGCGCGCGCGAAAGTGAGTGCCGGAGTAGCTGGCGGCGGTCTCGCGGCGTCAGAAACGCGAGAGCAGCCGTGTGCCACGTGTGTGCTGTCCTGATGACAGCACTGGGAATCGGTGACTCCTGCGTGGCGTCTATTGGTGAAACAATTTCTGGCCAGAGGAGAGGGAAACAAGGCATGCGATGGGCCCACCTCCCACCGACGCATTCCGCAACAAGCGTGCAACCCCTGTTTCTGCACGACAGAAGATTGAGCGGACGTCTCTAAGTGCAACAGGAGCGGCACGCGCAGAGCGTGCCTCGTTTTGGTTTGTGGGGTTGGAGCCCTCCTGAATCGCCTTCCTCTCCGCTGCTTTTCCTTCAGGAGCTCCCGGCCTCCATTGGCGACCTGGGGGACAAGGTCACGGCCATCGATGCCACGAACAACCGCCTCAGCGCCCTCCCAGGCTTCACCGGTGCCCTTACCGGCCTGCAAAAGCTGGTGCTCGCAAAGAACGACATAGGTCACCTGTCGCCAGACCTGTGGCGCCTAAGCCAGCTCAAGGTGCTGGTTCTTGACTCCAACCAGGTCCCATCGCTGCCCGAAGCCCTGGGCCAGCTGTCCCTCCTTGAGAGGCTGTCCATTGCATGCAACAACCTGGCGGCCTTGCCTGAGTCGATTGGACGCCTGGTGCGCTTGAGGCAGCTGGATGTGTCCAGGAACCGGCTGAGGGAGATGCCAGAGTCCATCGGAGGCTGCTCGGACCTGGAGGAGGTGGACGCAACTGACAACTACTTGCAGAGCGTCCCACACGGCTTGGAGCGCTTGGGCCGGCTCCGGAGAATTGTGTTGGATGGCAACGGCGTCGCGTCAGTCCCTGAGGGCGTGCTCAGGTACTGCACAGCGTTGCAGACATTGAGTCTGCGAGAGAATCCGATCACTATTGAGCAGCTGCAGGCGACGCCCGGTTATGATTTGTTTGAGAAACGGAGAAGGGAAAAGGTTGACAAAGCCATAGCCTCGGGTGTGATGATGGGATCGAATGCGCTGGATGAAGGTGTTGAGAGGAGAACATAGGTGCATGAGTGGTGCATAGCGCTTGCACCTGCAATGTTTCAAGGTTGCAGGCTTTCAGATGCATCAGACGGTCAAATGGCACAAAGTTCAGGAAGGTGGCAGCTGGCAGAAGGCGGGAGTTTTCCGAGACATGCTTTTGCAGTGTACACCAACGTGCAGGATGTGCTGTGACTGCCATTGGGCAAACAGTGTGCCAGTTATGCACACATCTCCCAGTTGTTGTACTTGGTGTCCCCAGATGCACTGCATCTGCGTTCCTTTCCATTGCGTTGCCCCATCTGCTGTGCTGTGGCTGTGCCCTCCCTGTTTTGTTTGGTCCTAGTGGTAGCAGTGGATATGTAGAGTTTGGGGGAAGGTGTTGGTGCAGCACACTCAAACTAGGGATACTAGGGAACTAGGGATTTGGAAGCTGAGAAAGCTGTTTTTCAGGCTTCCTGAAGAAGAGCATATGTCATACCCAGAGGGAATACTGATGTATGTTTATTGTATGACAATAACGTATATGGAACGTGTTGTAAAGGTTCCGAGCCCCACACTTGGGGAATTGATCCGAAAATGCATGTCTCGTGTCGTGCTCTGTGATGTCATGCGTCACAGTGGGCTATTTCTTTCTTGACAGAGCACAGGGGATCAATTCAACTACTCTCCAGTACCAGAAACCGTTGGATTAGCGATTTGCCGCATCCGTGTGAAGATTTGCCCCCCTTGCACAGTCAGGGAACACAGCCAACAGATGTTTCAGTGCAGTCCTGCTGCTGCGCCTCAGTGCAGTGGACACTCCTGTGATCTTGAGCCCATGGGGCGCCAGCCAGACTGACGGTCGTTGAAAAAAGTCATTAAGCCCTTTCAGGTGGCCCAAATTCGCAGTACTGCGAACATCGCAAAGAAGCTCGGCATGCACGTGGTGGTAAGCAAAGAGGGCGCGGGGACGTTCAAGCACATCCACTCGAGCCCAACGGAGCCTTGCCTGGGCGCAGACACTCCTCCAGGGCTTGCAACAACTTTGCAGCATGAGACGCAGTCTGTCGAACCGGTCCGGATGCTGAAATTTTATCGTTCGCGAAATGTCGATCGACCACTCATGGCCGCCCCGCTTGAAAGCGCGTATTCACAACAATCACGTCCAGCTATTGGTGGTTCTATCAACGCCCCAAAACCGAGTTTCGCGCGTCCAAAGCGGCTTTCTTCCTAAACGCGCTTTTTCCGTGTCCCTGGAGTTGGGCAGACTCTCAATGCCCTTCTTTGTCTCTACGTTGAACAGAAAGCGGCTTTCTTCCTAAACGCGCTTTTTCCGTGTCCCTGGAGTTGGGCAGACTCTCAATGCCCTTCTTTGTCTCTGCGTTGAACAGATCAGCCAGTCTCCCACCTTGCATGGTCTTGGCTGCGCACGGACATCCGACGCTGTTGAACATGAGCCTGGCATGTAGGTGCCCCACTCCGCGATCGACACTCGAGCTTCATGCACGCATTGCCCACGCCAGATCATTCTTTGAGAACACGTACAGATTAGATTACCGTCTGAGCCCCAAAGACCATTTTGTATTGCCAGCAACGTTTCCAGCGTCGCGCTCCGCACGCATTACCTTCCTGATCGGCATCAACCACCACCCTTGACGTGGCTGGCATCTGTTGGTCCATAACGGATCCATGAACGCTCTCGCGGGGCGATCTGTGGCAATTTGAGGATCAACACTGCAGTATTGAATGGGCCATCCGCGTCCACGCGCCCGGCCTCACACGGTTCTGGCGCCCCACACGTGTCCTCGTGGGAGCATTGCCCGATAGCTATCATCACCGAATATGAAGTTCATGAAGGGGTCATGAAGGACTTGAAGGGTACTAGGGTAATAAAACCCTCAAATCCCTTAAAACACCCCAACCGAAGACTGCCTTCCTGGCTTCATGACCTGCATGGCCTTCATGACCTTAATGGCTTTCACAACTTCATGACTTCGTAACTTCGTGATCTTCATGACCTTCATGGCCTCATGTCCAGATGGGTATCGGATATTTGTGCCTAGTGGCACTGATGATGCGCATTTGCCTGCAGCACTCAAGAACAGAGCCACCTCATGCAAATCTCAACCGTCGCGCAATTTCCGTACTCTGCGTTGGGACTCACCACATGTGCTCTCTTCCTTGTCTCTTTTTGCCGTTCTTTTGTTTAGGGATGCCAAGCTCCTGGCAATATCGTATTTAAACAATCTGGTGACTCGAACAGCGCGTAGACGAACATTCGCCAAGGAGTTGACCCGCGTGGAATACGGTTACCCTTGCGCGGACTGCACACAAGATATCACCCTGCCTGCCATTGGCGCAGCAAGCCCTGCAAGTGTAGCCTTTTCTGCAGCTCCCTCAAATGGTAATTGTTGCATTTTGGGCTCAAAGTTGGGCTGCAACCTCTTGATTCTGAGTTGCATCCAAGACTTTGGCACATCATTGATGCCCACAACAGCATCCCACTGTGTTGCCGAGAATTCCATGCATGTGTCAAAAATATCCAGAACTGTACCCACCCAGCCCTCTTGTTTGGAGTTGGAGACGGAAAACATCTGTCAAGTCCTGGAGGACAGTCGAATTGTTGGCCATTTGTTTGTTATTTGCCATGCCGGCTGCATCAATGCCCTCAGAGAATTAACAACTGTGTAGGACACGTTTCCCATGCGTCTTCTTCACGTCTCCTGGGCTGGCGCATCTATGGTCCAAACTTTGAGGTTGGGCCTGCTACGTAAAGCCACCCGAGTGAACATGGTTGCCCAAACACAACGCCGAAAGGCCACACGTTTCCAAACCTCCCCCCTGACTATGTCCTGTATACACAAAAACACAACACGATATACCACACGATACGCAGCCATTGATTGCTACTCTCACAAACTTTAATAGCCCCGCGTCGACTGGCGCGTAAACGGTGTGCGAGTGCAAGGCGGTTGCTTTGGAACAGCGCAGGCCGAGCCACAGCACCGAACACCGACGCCTCGGCACCGATGTTGGGACGGCAAGGATGACTCACCTTACCAGGGCATTGCTCGGAATCAGTCACCAGCCCCCCCGTTTCGCCGCTTTACCCCGTTTAATTGGCTCCCCGTTGTAGCGCCCCCCCCACGGCCCGTAGTCGCACGAGCATGCCCCGTGGCCCGTGCTGCGGCCCAACCCTCCACCGCGCCGCGGCCCCACCGAACCCCCGCAGACCACCCACACCCGCCACAGGCCGGCCATGGGAGAGGACAAGAGGCAGAAGGCTGGTGCAGTCGATGCCGTAGACTCCAAGGGCCTGCAAGATAATGGGTAGGGGGGGCACCACCACAGCCGGGCATGCCAGGCCTTTGGGAGACAATGAGGCGCTTCCGGGGCTAGTTTTGCGTCTGTGGTGCCTGGATGGTCAAGGGAGGGGTGGTTTGGGAAGTGGATGGGGGGATTGGCGGTGTGGGGCCGTGGCAGCGGGTCCTGGGAGCGCCGTGGCCGTGCGTTTCGGTGCCCCTGACGCGGTGTTGCCGCCGGTGTGTGTGTGGCACGAAGGGGAGGCGCGGGTGGCCAGCACGAGGAGAGTGCCGGCGGCGGGGGAGGGCGGCGGGGGAGCAGCAGCGGGATGCGCAGATATACGAGGTGCGGGGCGTATGCGTCGCCGCGGGCATGAGGGGCAATTGGGGGCGGGGGAGGGGCTGAAGCCGGGGATTGCGTTCGCTTGGTTCGAGGCCGGATGGTGGCGGGATCGGGGTTGGGCTGGAACCGGTGTGCGCGACCCTTTTGTCGCAGGCGCAGAGGCTGTTTTGCGAGACGCCCTGGCACCGTGTCGCATCCCTCCGGCAATGACAGCGGAATCTGGTGCTGTCGTTGGGCCAATTTCCCCTTTGCCTGAGTGTCAGTTGGGCTGATTGCGAGCGGATTCGGTCCAAGGCACTGTGGCGCGCGAAATGTAGAAATTGTGGAGCAGCTTCACAGGCCAGTCTGCTTTCTCCAAGTCTCGGTTTTCGTCAGTGCCCCTCTTGGATGGGTTGAGCGGTAAAGAATGCAGGCGCCGATGGTGTTCTTTGTTTTCTGGCGCCGGCACTGACGCTTCGTGGTGATGTGTGTTGTGTGGAGCAGGGAGTGGCTGTTGGAGATCAAGGCGAGGCCTGAAATGTCCAAACCTCCATCCGGTTTCAACGCAGCCCTGCTGAAGTGAGACCCCCCAAAGGCCTGTGTTTCCTGGATAGAGCGGCTTGGCCGAGTGCAGAGACCAGCATCTCGAAACCTTGAGATTTGGTGGATTTCTCTTGTGGGCATTTGCACAACGCTCTGATGTTGGCTTGTGGGCCTATTTGTGCAAACATGTTGTCAATGGCAGACACTATGGGGTGGCTTGTGTGCTTGCTTGAAGCTGTCTGAACAGGGCGTTTGGCTGTGCTGCAGGCCTTGCGAACCGAATAACGAGCGCCCCCACAGCGGTTGGCGTGCCAGGGAAGGGAGGGAGGGTTGGCATCCCCCTGCTGGTAGGTTGCCAAGTTGCTGCACAGGACAAAAGCTGCCTGTTGCATTGTCAGGACCTTGATGGGGGTAGCTGGAAGAAGTGAAAGAACTGCATGGCTGCAGGATGTCTGTTGCCTTGTCGCTGTGATTGCAGAACTGCTGTGAGATGCATTGTTGTGTAATGCCAGGGGCCAAAGGCCAGATCCACAGTCGCCTTGTTGATGATGGAAAAATGGATCCACCTTCGAAGAGTGAACAACCAGGCGATGGCAAGTGGCTGGCGACAAGGCCTAGCTTCAAGGCTGAGGGGGGATTTGTAAGTGTCCGAATGTCATGTTCGTGCGAGAGCATGGCTTTATCCTGCTGCTGCACTGCAATCGTGTGTATGACTGCTGGTCGGCTAGAAACTGTATCTGAAGTCATTTGCCTAGTGACATTGATCTGGTATGTGCTGGGTGGGCTATGCATGTGCTGCCATGGTTTTGTGTTTACATGCTATCTACGTGCCAGTGCGATTCCTGGAGTGTGCCTCCTTCCTTAAGCTTCTTGTCTTGCCTGTGCAACAATCCAATTGACTGCATGCGCTGAGGCTTGAAAAGCACCTTCCACCCATGCACCTGCAAGGCAATAGCACGCTGTGCCTTTCCTCTGTGCACGTGAATTTCACCTCTTTGGGTGACTGTCTGGTTTGCTGCTGTGCAGCCAGCAAACCCTCCACGCCGCACCCGCAGTGAGCAGCCCGGTCGTTGGGATTCAAACAAGGCAGCAGAAGAAGCAAGGAATGCTGCTTCAGCGGCCGAGCGCCGGGCACCTCCTGGAATGGAGCGTCGCTCATCAGAGCGCACCAAGGGGGAGCGATGGGGATCTTACGGGCACAGGGACAAGTCCCAATGTGAGAACACGTCAGATGCCAATATGCAGCTTGTGCTTTGTCCGTGATATGAACTGTACAAAACCCGTTATTGGGTGCAGTGACTGTGACTTTTTGTTAAGCCGAGTTTTGGTGTATTCTGAACGGGCCAGCTCTTTGCAGAAGAACACTGTGCGTGGTTGGCTCAAAAGCATGTTGAACAATGCAGAGCAATGCAATGTTTTGACATGCCCGGCCCCTCAACCTTTGTCGGGCAGCTGTTTGACTTGTGGTTGTTTGTGAGTCAGTTGACATCGGCTCACAGGTTCCCCATGTTTGGCTTTTGATGTGCACAGTTGAGAAAGAAGGTGGTGGAGGTGGTTTGTCAGGGGAGCCTGAATGGATGCACGATGTTGGTGATGGTGACAATGGAGGAACGAGCCAGCAAGATAGGGCAGCATTCGAGGAGCAGCGCAAGAAGTTCAAGGAGTCGTGGTCAAAGAAGGGGGGAAGCGCACAAGGAGCAGCGCAGGTACCTATTTTGTCTATCTGCATCAGGATGGCAGTTGCGTGTGTGTGTGCCTTGCTAGTGTATTCAATTGGCAATTCAGACTGAGCATTGAGAATGTCTGATGATGCATGAGACATTGTGCACCTGAGCTTGAGATCCTGCAGCCAAGGGGTTTTGCTTTTGCCGCTATGATATTGTTTGATTTGGATTGTGGTGTGCAGGCTTTATCAGACCTGTTTATGTCAGATGATGACATCAACAAGATGATGCAGGGCGATGAGCGTAACACTCCCCCACCTGGTTCTTCAACTGCTGTCTCTGCTGGAGTTGCCGCCAGTGGAGCTGATGGAGGTGGGCTGCCTGGCAGTGCCAGAGCTTGCTACTCCAACAAATCAAAAGCAACACAGTGTTTGCAGGCTGCTCGATAAGTGGCAAAACAGACAGTCTAAATGTTTGACCTGAATGCACTGGCAGTGGGGACATGGATGCAGCCTTTGTTTCAGTGAATTAGTTCCCTGTCAGGGATGTGCTGGCTTGTGTACTTTTGTTGAGGCTGTTGCAAACTTTTTCAGCCTGATTGGGATTATTGCAATGAAAGTCCTAAGGACGGGATGCGCACCGAACAGGACGCACTTGTTGTTACAATATTCGTGCTGTGCTTCTGCATTGAAAACCTTTTTTCTCCTGCCGACAGTGAGGCCAAGTGTGGTCACTTTCAGCTTTGACTCGTTTAAGGAGGCAATCAAGCAGGCGGGTGTCCCAAACCTGCCCCCGCTGCCAACAACTTTCAGCACTGTGGACGAGATCGAGAGGCAGCAGAGGGGCCGATTGCCACAGCGAGGAGGTGCACCAGGGTTCACCCGTGGCCAGCACCTTCAGGGGATGCCCCAATTTCAGATGCCTCCAATGCCGCAGCAGTACAAATCGGTTGGTGATCTAGAGCGAGAGCAGTATGGAATCGGAAATGGGGGGCAAGCTGGATTGCAAGGTAAGCTTCTGTGTGGGAATTCAGATCGTCTTGAACCGTGTGTTTTGTTTGTGGCTAGTTGAGGAGGGCAGCCTGTGTAGTAGGTTAATTTCGTGTTGACTGTTCTTGGCTTGTCCCTGCAATTGACCGTTTGCTGTTGCCCGAGCCACTGCTGATACGCAGCACCTGGGTGACAGATGACGGATCAAAACTGACATATGCATGAGGATGGAACTGTGTTTCTGTGTTGTTTGATTAGTAAATGACATTTCGCACCCAAACGCCACTTCAAGGTGATGACCGATAGTCCGTACATTCTGCCTGGAGCAACACAAGGTTTAGTCGGGTTTCACATTTTCGACGGATAATTGTATCGGGCAGAATTGTTTGTGTATAGGTCTGTTCAGCATCTTGACCTTGAGCAAGGCGATGGTTTGCAATGTGCGTACATGCGATGTTTGGTGCTGTAATGCCCATGCGAACCTCAACCTTCAGAATTGTCAAAAATTGAGTCTTATTCATACCGATTTCTTAATCGGTCCCTGAACACAGCCTTTGCATTGTTGCCTTTTGTCATGCATCCTGCAAGGCGAATTGAAGGTGGCAGTGGATTTGATGAGTGCTTGTGGTTTTAGGGGCAACTGCACAGCCCACTGGCAATGGCTCCATGGACGGGGCACATTTTCTGCTTTCTCTCCTGAGGGGTCAAGCCAATGCAGCAAACACGCCACAACCTGGCGTTGGTGGCATGCACAGGAGCTCGCCAGCAGGCCCGATGCAGCCCCAATATCTTCCTGGCGTGACGCTCCCATCGCCTGGTCAAGGCGGTGGGGCTCTTCGTGCGCTTTTGGGTCAGCAGCAGCAGCAACAGCAGCAGCCCACACAACTGCCAAGGCAGGACAATGTGCTCGGCCGGCTGTTTGCTGCTGCGGCGCAGAAGAACGCACCTCCCAGTGCAGGTATGGCCCTTCCAAAGCTGTGTGCCCCAGTGTGGAACATCCACCAGTCCACTTTTTATCCCAGTGGGATGTGTCCATTCCGGCAACATAGAACCTACCCCAAGTTGAACTCCCACTGCATGGCACAATAATGGCATCGTGCTCAAATACGCAAGCTATAGATTTCAGGGGACTCAATATCTGAAAGCACAGAGCACTCTGGATGCTCTGCAGCTGGGGGGCCTGCAGCTGCAGCAGCTGCGGCAGGAGCAGCGGTGAACTCTTGGCTCTGCGCTGCTCATGCAGACAGAGAGAATGCAGACAACCCTTCCCCGGATTCACACAGGTGGACTTCCAACACATTGACTGAACCTGGAAGGCGCCTGCTGGGCACCTGGTGCACCTTGTTTCTAGGCAGTGTTGGTTGCTCTACAATTGGAAAGCGACCTCTGGTTTCAAGGCGCAGTCCCGTGCAGAGCTTGCAGGCCTCCCAGAGTATCATCCATGGTTGGGGGGGTACCAGAGTCAAAGGCCCCATTCACCTTGACCAATGATCACATATGGAGTGTGCAGCAGTGTTCACCACTGTGCCAATTTCTGAGGTTGGGCCAAGGTCCAAGGTTAGGCCAAGGCCCAAGGTTGGGCCTGGTGTGGGTGGCCTAGAAGGCATTCTGCCTGCTTTGCTGCCGTCCAGGGGTTTGCCTTTCCAACAGCATACATGGACATTGTTAGCAAGGAATTTCTGAAACAAGCCAAGTTCTGCCTGCCCTGGAACCTGCCTCGCCCGTTGGCCCCCTGACAACTGGTTGGTCTTGTGAACACTGCTTCCAGGGGTGGTGTGGTCAGGCAGCAGACCATGGTCAGCCTCCCTTTCTCCCAGGACCGGATCCCATGCCCAATCTTCAGGGCGATGCACAGGAATTTTTTTGTCCCAAGTCAGCACACAAATTGCATATGTGTACATGTGTGCACAACTGTTTATATTGTGTATTTGTGCACATCAAAGTCTTGGGGCAGTCGTCCACCCTTGGGGGCAGTGAGCCCATGATCTCATCCCTAGAGAGTGTGGTGTATGATGGGGCTGAGTTGCTGGCATGCCTGATGGCGGATAGTAGCGGGTCATACACATGTCGGTGGCAAGATGCACTGTTGCCTGGCTGTCGCAGTGCAACGGGCAGCCACACTTTACCCCTGGCTGCGCTCGCTTGTCGCCACTATTGGCAGTTGGGAAAGAATCTGCTCTTGGGCTCTCCGTGTGACAGCAGGATTAGCAACAGGCTGGTCAGTTTCTATTTCCCATGTGGGTGGCAAAGTGGTGGCAACGATGATCATTGTGCTTCTGCTGTTGTAGGTGTGCTGCCCAACCCCTTGCTGCAGCAGCATGGCCACCAAGTCAACTTGGGTCAGCTGCAGTCACAGGGCGCTAACTTCCCAATGATGCCCAACATGCAGCAGAATCCTTTCATCAGGTCCCAACAAGGGAACCCTCTCGTGGCCCATGACCCTGGACGTGCTATGGCCAGAAATGCGCAGCTGGGAGGCGGCTTCCCCAGCGGTCTGTTCCGCCCTGCTCCTCAGGCAGCGACGCAGCCAGGGCCCATGCTGTCACAGTACAGCGTCCCGGGTGCGCCTCAGGGGCAGTTCTTGGGGCAGGCGCAGATGCACGGTGGAGTGCCAGGCCATCAGGTTTGTGTCCCTTGGGCAGCCTGCAGTAAATGCTGCAGCAAGGGCGAATGCTGGGGTGGGGGGTGGCAAGCACCATTGGGTTTTCCGAACGTAGCAATGCAGGCCCTGGTTGTCCGTAGACGTCGGTTGCGGTGGTGCTTGGGGGCAATGTGGTGCTCAAGGGTGCTCAAAGCGGCATTGCCCCAAAAGATGGGTTCGAAGGTTCAGCCACACTCAGCTGAGACTCGACCATAATATTGTTCAACTTTGTCCGGGTTAAGTTTGAACCCTGAAGCAAGGGAAGTAGTAAACTTAACCATAAATACCTGAATCTGCTAACAACAAACTCAAACAACATTCATGGCACTCAGTTCCTGGGTTATCAGATACTTGTGCTCTAATTGGCAGTGCTAGGCTGAAACTCAATTTGGACTAGGCTTTCCCTTTACAGCTGGACTACGTTGCACCTGTACTGGAGCTGGTTGAGCCTCATTTTGGACTAGGTTTCCTCTGCTGAGCGTGGTTCTTAATTTGGACTTGATCAAACCTATTTTCGCAAAAAGAATTGTGTCACCAGGCAGGGCCGTGTGTGTGTGTGTGTTGCATGTTCCTTCTCACGTTTACAGCTGTTGATGGGCAGCTTTCGTGACACAGCTATCGCATTGTTGTTTGTAATGAACTCAGTTGGTCGTGGAAGGTGGTACTGTGGCATCTGTGGTTCTGCTGGGCGAGCCATGATGGCTGAGGGCTGTGCTCGTTTGCCTGTAGGACCCAATGCTGGTGCACCCCAACGCACTTGCTCAGCTCCAGGGAATCCAGAGCAGCCAGGCTGGGCAGCCTGGGCTTGAGAGGTTCTTCAATTTGAATTCTGTGGGTGGGCTGCAGCCAGCAAACTTACAGGCGAAGCCCATGCAGGTAGTTTGGAGACATTCCAGACCAGGCAATGAAGGGTTGTTGTGGGATTTGGGGGTGGCTTTGTGACCAATCGTCAACCACTCAACTCCTTGTCTGTTGCAGATGGCATTTGACTTTGTGGAAGGCACCCGTAGTGCCTTTCTGGATAGAATTAATGGCGCAAACATGGCCCCTGTGCTATCTGCAATCGTAAATCTTTCTGATTCCTTGAGTGGCAAGCGTTTGCTGCTTGCCATGTATGTCGGCACTTGGTGACTTGTGCCAAGGCCGGCGAACAGTGGTATCATGGGCTGGCAGCATGGGAGGTAGCCGATGGGGCAGTTGTGGGGTATGCGCTATGGCCCCAAGTGAGCCACAGTGTTGTGTTTGGGTATGCAGGTGCAACAAGATCGCCAGCGGGCCTTGGAAGAACTTGCCAGGGGTATGGCAGCAAGGTGATGGCTCATCCTCTTGGCTCATGAAACCATTCGGGATTGGGCAACAGAGCGTCGGCTGCTCGTTTGTCTGTGGTTGACTTTCGACAGCGGGGACTGCTTGCGGTGTCCCAAAACGTGTCACGGGGCATGCTCATCATCCTCAGCTGCGCTCCAGCAAAGGCATATGGCCGGTTGGGAGACCGGCTGTTGTGCCCATCGGGCCTGAACTATCAGCAATGACCTGCATTCTTTGTAATAGTTTGGACGTTCCGGCATCCCCTGGGCATTTTCAGGAGACATCAATTGGTTGGTATGGTTGATATCTGCGCAGTCGTATTTGGTTTGTAGAGGCGTAGGTCGGCGACGAGGGCGATTTCTGTAGTGGGCTGGATAGGAAAGGGAGGCAATGTACACTAAACCAATTGGGCTACGACGCCAGTGGAGCAGCTTTGTGGCTTACTTAATCATGCAGCGCATGGCTGATTTGTGCACAATATTTGCAAGTGAATTTCCTAGTTGTGAGAGAGAGTGATTAAGAGGCGCAGCTGAGTGTGCCCCTACGTCTGGCTAATTCAAATCAGCTAATGACCCGATGTTAGACCTGGAGGTGGGTTGGTTGAGCAATGTGCGGGAGTTGTGCCAGTTTCAACATGCTCGCTGCCGGCATGTGGAGAGCTCCAAGCGGGCGCTGGACTGGGTGTCCGGTTTGTACCTTTTTTGGGCTGGGAAACGATGGCAGGGTGCCGTCTGAATGCATTTTAAGAGCTGGAGAGCTTGCAAAGGTTGTGCGGAACGTATTCCGTTTCGCCTGTGGGGTCGCACGCTTCCCTGCCTCGCATTGCTTGGCGCTGTCGTTTCTTGTCGATGCTTCTGCAATGCGGTCAACATGACGTGCCGCACTGGCTTCGCAATGTGTTCAGGTACCGCTCGAGACGGCACACGCAGGAAAACACCAGCGGCCAGCACAAAGCACAGCTGGGAGTGCGCACCCAAGAGTGAGGGTCCCACTATCCGGAACCGTTAAGGGGTGTGCGGCATGTTGAAATGGCGGCAGTGAGCATCTGCTGTTGCTTGCAGACTTGCGCAAATGTAGTCGACTGTTCCAACTTTGTTGTCTAGTGTACTGGCCATGATATAAGTTGCTTGCACAGAGCACTCCTGGAGAGCTTGCACAGCGGACCGCTGTGCATACACAAAGACAAAAGTATACCCATGCACAATGCCCACCCGCCTACATTAGGCCCCTACTCTCAGACTTGATCACAGCTATGCAGAGCACAAGCAAAGGAGATCTTGCCAGGGCATTCATAGCACATCAGCAGCTGCACAACTAACTTAGTTGCCTGGCTTGAGACAAGACTTGTCAGCTTCTTCAGCCAAAGCGTTCGGGCTTGTCTGCCCACCAGAAGTGTCTACCATCCGTGTCCCTCCCCACGCCACTGGACAGTCACCAGCACGCTGCCCATCGTTCATTTCCCTTGCGGTCTTACCGCCCCAGTTTCTTTTCTTCCACATTAAACACCAATCCCTTGTCACCAACATCCTGGGCACATCAGGCGCAGCTACAGATAGGTGCAGAACAAATGGCTTGCCGTAGAGGTGAATGTTATCGAGCCTTCATTCCAGGGCTCGACAGTGGCTGGCTCACCAAGGTTCAACAGGGCGCTCCGTCCCCAACCTCAGACTCTTTTATGTGCACTTTAGCGGAATGTGGCAATGTAACCATGCACGGCGAACAACCGAGGGCCTGCATGTCCATTTGGGTCGTGCTTCAAAAGGAAGCACAGGGCACTGAGGTGCGAGCGAGAGTGTGCATTTGAGCCACACGCTGAGCGTAAACACATGCGTTCATGCAATTAAACTTCCTGATGATGGGTTTCCACCAAGGGCGAAGATGGGCAGGCGCGTGGCGAGAAGTCCTGAATCGGCGCCGCCTTGAGCACGTTCAGTTTTGGTCAGCCCTGTTGGTTTCTGTCCCCCAGGTACGTTGGGCCTGCGAAAACCCGAGGCATTCAAGGAGGGCCAGCGGTTTTGGCGCCGTTGGGTTCGACGGGACTTCCGGGGGTCGAGGTGGGCGGCCATTCAGGTACCCTATTTAGTACCCTATACTTTCTCCTATTGCCCTATTGAGTACCCAGGTACTATTTAGGTGCTCCCCTCGGCACCCCCATCATCTTGTTTCACACCCACACGGCCCACCCTATGACTCATATGGTATATTACTCATAAACTGCCTTTCAAGGGAAGTGGCATAAGCACGTACCGCAAAGTATTGTGCCTCATACTACTCTTCACAAAAAATGAAAGCGATTTTCGGTTAGATTGGGGAGTTTAAGCGCGGGATCAGGGGCCCGACCCAGGGCTGAGTCCTGCTTTAGTGTGGCATAAATACTGCAAAGGGAATGGGCACAATTTGAAGTGGGCTGCCTCGGAGCTTTGCATTCCTGATGGTAATACACACCTGAAGCACAATTGCGTGTCATGTTTGTTGCGTGGGGAACAGTCGCGGACAGGAAGGGGGGCATGGGGGTTGGAAAGGGAAAGGGGGGGGGGGGATGAGACCGGGCTGGCCAAAACGCAGTGACGTGGCATGATTTCCACCTGCCGTATCACCCCCCAAGCCATGCGTCTTTGTTCGTCAGGTACAGGTGACTGGGGCTGCTCAACGGAACCAGAACATGGCAGGTGCCCGTCAGTCGCCACCCCCCTGCCACCATTCCCGGAAGATTGCCACCAGGATCTAGTGCACCTGTTTGGCCAATCAACCAAGAAACATTACATATCAAGGCAAGGGAGTGGCTGCTAGCTCCTCAGTTTGCTCCAAAAAGGAACTGCCCATTATTTGCTTTTTGGAAACTCAAACCGTTGCACTATTACCGAATGACGGGCCCATTACATGAGGTCTAAAAACCACCAATTCCAAACGCTCAAAGATATGGGACGATGGAGATGCATTGAAAGAAGAGTACTCGCAGGAGGGCAAACAGGAACTTAAGCCAAATGTGTTGTTTATTTGATGCGTAGAAATATCCTCGAGGAATTTCGGCGTATAACTTGTATACATGGCAATGAAAGGCGCCTTTAAAATCTTTGCTACTGTTACCCTCTGGATATGCTGACAATGAATTCTGCCAGCGGTGGACTTGGGTGGGTTGATAGTTAGAGTCGGCACCTAGTTTGTAAGGCCAGTGTCTGGCAAAGCACATCGGTTTCTGTCTTACGAAGCTGCGGATCAGCAAAAGCTAGCGCAGTTCAAGGGTGCCATCGGGAGTCTGAAGCCACTGAATTTGGCTAAGTTCGAGAGGTGCTGAGCGGGGACTTGTACTTGCGCTCTATCTTCAGTCCCCACCATACATCCCTTCACCTTCTTGTCCTGCTCCATTAGGATGAATTTCGGTTCAGACACGAGATAGAGGGGGAAAAAAGTTGGGCCAGGATCTGTCTAACGGTGAGTCATTGTGACCCAAAGTGTGAGTAAGCGTGAAGCTACATAGCGCGTTTTTTAGTGGGAGTGTCGAGGACATCACATGATGATGCCCCTTTCTTCCATCACGTCAATTGAAACCTAAACTTGCATTTGTCCCCTGCATGTGGTTGCCTTGGCCGGACATGGAGCGGGGCCACTCACCCACTGTTGTTTGAATCCGCCGCTGCTGCTTCAAGGGCATCAATACAACTGCAATAGCATTCTCCAGGCTGATAATGAGCTGCTGTGGCAGTCCCTTCGTCCAGCGCGCACGAACGGGTGCAAACTGTTTCCACAATGGTCGCTGAGATGCGCGATGGGTAAGGGGAGCACCGTCGGAACAAACTGGGAAATAGGCACAGCCGCAAACCCTGGGCACGGTGCGCACTTCAAGGGGATTCAGAATGCCCCACCATTGGCCGACATTGGCGACTCCAATGAAACTGAATTCGGCATCTGCCGCCACACGGCGAGCGACTTCTTTACAGTGCACATGCGAACAGAGGAACTCTGGCGCCTAACTGTAACAATGAGTAGGCACATTCACCCAGACATCAGCACAACAAGGGCCCCTGTCAGGAAGGCCAGGCCGGCAGTAGCCATGAGAAGTGCTCCCCCACTGTCAGAATCTAGCACCGCGGCTCGCAGCTCCTCGCGTGTGATGCAGGGATGTTCTGTTTTGTCAAGGTCGATGTCTTGGCCATTTGGAACGGCATCTCCACCACTTTCTTGCGCCTGCTCTGCATCTCCCAAAGCCCCCAGCGAAGATCCTGACTCGTTCTGCAGTTTAAGCTAGAAACCATACACACATTGTGTCAGAGGCTGCTCTCCGTAACTGAATGGTAATGGCAGTACATTGATAGGCTGATCATAACTGGATGCAAGAAAATGCATTGGCAAGAATAGTTTCCCCAGCAGTGCCGTCATTATTGCGCATCCTCACCAGATCGGATAGATTAACATCAGCCGCGTCGTTGCACTCGATGCCCATAGATGTCGTCAAGGCCACGTACTCCTGTGAACCAGCGAAATTTAATTGCCAGGAGGACTTATGGTGAATGTGAACTTGAGATGGAAAACAGCATGCTTCCAGTCGATACAAGTATTCATCGATTCGATTTGGAGTGAATTTATAGCATGGTTTGGTTATTACCATAACATACAGTACCATGCTGCAAATGATATCGAGCGGCTTTCAGGCTGCTCATGTAGCAGTGCAGCAAAGTGGCAACTTGACGGCAACTACGAAATACGTTGACTCGTTTCTGCTTATCTTGAAATACAGCCAAGGTCAAATCGGCTTGTGAAAGCGTTCCCTACATTTGCGGAATTTCGGATCACGCAGACCTGCTTCCTTGACTGTGAGCTCATGTCCGCTTTGCAACCTTGCAGCCGAACATCGGCGTTGCATGCTCCTTGCTGTTATGCCGCGGTATCTAAATTGGCGGCACAGTGACTGCCAAGTCCAATCACTGGCTGCGGTGATCATGTGGTGGGATGAACGCACGATGGTCATCTTGCCTTGACACACTCTTTGAATGTCTCCCTGGGCATAG